AATTTGATATTCACTTTGAGACATCAAGGAGATAACAGCCTGGTTAAACCACTGAGTTACATTAACTTCCATCCATTTTAATGCATCTAGTTCTGTCTGTTTCTGTTTTGTTTTAATCTCCCTCTTATACATTTGGATGACAACATGAATTCGCGCCAAATTTGAGTTAACTGGCTTTCAATCTTTCAATCTGTGTACTTCAATGAGTAAATGATCAGAAATTTGTGTTAGATGACTTAGTCTTTATTTTCAGACAGACTGACGTGGCGTTTTACCGACCATGCGCATGGTCCGGGGTTCGATCCCCGGCCAACGACGCACTGCTTTACCTCTCTAAGCCAGTAATAAAAGAAAGCTTGTAAAGAAGCAACGTTCGGTGGGCTTGAGACTAGCAACCCCATCCTGTAAAAATAATCACCATTGCTACAGAAACTTCAAGCCTCTAACTTGAAGCCACCCTATGTTCCCCTGGGAACGTGAAGGAATTCTATAAGATAGGAGGTTAAATATTTCGCAAGAAATTATACACAGAATTCTGTATTATTATGTGTAAACGATATTCGTAGAATAAATCTGATATGATGACGATTGCTACCATTCATTAACTGAGGTGAATTTTTAATTGTCGCAGTAACAATCGTCATATTCTCACCAGTTACAACTCCTGAATTCCAGATCGTATTTCCAGCTGACACATTCATAAATCCTAACTGCTTCACAAGCTGGTAGAAATCCGTGAAAAGAAGCCGTGTTTGAACAAAGCAAGAACAACAACAGTTTTTGCAGAATAAAGTGGTACCATCATTGTTTATTTCGTTGCCTTCTCATCAGCTGTTTACAGGCCAAAGTCATTATTAAATATATCTACAAAAACAATTTTAACATACTTGCACAGAGTTAATTTTAAACAAAAATCAATCGACCAATATAATATGCATACAGTAATAATATATATATGTGCATATACTGAAAAGATGTTGAAGAGCAATGGGTACCCTCAAAGGTTCATCAACAAGTATGGAAGATTTGAAGTTTCAAATGTAAAACAAATCAAAGTGAAGGAAAAGCCAATCTACATTCAACTTGATTATAAAGGTGAAAATATTACAGCAATTGTCAACAGAAGACCGTGTACCTCACTAGCCAGAGCCTATCCTGCAGCTAAGCTCGTTCCCGTCTATCGAACAACTTGCTCTTTGGCGCAATCAAAAATCAATAGATATCCTTGTCATGTTAACTCCAATTATATATAGAAATTTACATGTATCTGTGGGAGCAGATACATCGAGAGAAGAGAAAGAAGGAGGGCATACCTCCGATTTTCTGAATATGAACCAAAATGCTTATGCCTCAAGGGAACAAATGCTTTAAACAGTGCCATCGTCAAGCATCTCCTCGACACGGGTCATGAGGTGGACGTCGCAAATTCGTTCAAAATTATCCATTGGCAAAAGAGCTCAATTCTCCTCAAGTTTTCTGAAGCCATTTCCATCAAACAACTGAAACCTGATTTATGCGTTCAGAAAGAAACAGTTATCAGTCTTTCCTTGCCTATCCTGTTAACTGGATATTTTCACCCTCTCTTTCATCTGAATGCATAGCGCTGAAAAGTTTCCATTGTGTATGATCATTATTGTTCGGAATAGTGTTTATTATTATTATTATTTCCTTTAGTTCCTAGAGGAACATAGGGCTTCAGCCATGCGTCTCCATTGCGTTCGATTCTCTGCTAGAGTTTTCACCTGGCTCCAGGTCTGCCTACATGCTTTCATCTCCTCTTCACATGATCTCCTCCAGGTCACCCTTGGACGACCAACTCGCCGCTTCCCTTTCGGGTTCCACTCGAGGGCTTGTCTAGTGATGTCACTTGCTGGTTTCCTCAGAGTGTGGCCAATCCATCTCCATTTTTTCCTGCCTATTTGTTTCACAATGGGTTCCTGGTTGGTTCGCTCCCAGAGATCTTTGTTGCTGATCCTTTCCGGCCATCTGATCTTGAGTATTGAGCGAAGACATCTGTTAATGAAGGTCTGTAGCTTGTTTGAGGTGCTCTTTGTGACACGCCAAGTCTCTGATCCGTATAGTAGTACTGACTTCACATTGGAGTTGAAAATCCCGATCTTATTTTTGACGCTGAATGATGTTGTCCTCCACACAGACTTCAGAGTAATGAAAGCTTGCCTTGCTTTCCCGATCCTTGCTTTGATATCCTCGTCAGTTCCGCCTGTAGTTGAAACAATGCTTCCCAAGTAGGTAAAGGAGGTAGTTTCTTTCAGGTTTTTTCCATTTATGCTGATTGCTGTCTGTTGTTGTTGTTGGTGTTGGCCAGGGATCTTCATCACCTCTGTTTTTTCTATGTTCACCTGGAGTCCTATCTTTGATGCTTCTTCTGCCAACTTGTTACTTTTCACTTGCATATCTTCCAGTTTGTGGGAAATCAGGCATATATCATCGGCGAAGTCCAGATCCTCCAAGTTCTTTGTGTGAGTCCATTTTATGCCTGTTTCCTCATTGCCCACTGTTTGTCGCATTATCCAGTCTACTGCAATCAGGAAAATCATTGGCGATAGTAGGCAACCCTGTCTTACTCCTGTCTTCACTTCGAAGGATTCCGTGAGCTTCCCGTTGTGGATTACTTGGCATGCAGCGTTGTCATACAACTGTTGGATGAGGTGTATAATTGTCGGCGGCACCCCGTAGTAGCGAAGTAGTTGCCAAATCACCTCTCGATCGACGCTGTCGAAGGCCTTTTCAAAGTCGATGAAGTTGAGATAGAGAGGTGACTGCCATTCCAAACTTTGTTCAATGATGATCCGTAGTGTGGCGATTTGATCAATACATGACTTGTTACTCCTGAATCCAGCTTGTTCTGGTCGAAGTTTTTCATCCAAGGCTTGTTTGATCCTTTCCAGGATGATGCGGCTTAGTATTTTGCTTGTGATGGAAAGGAGCATAATTCCGCGCCAGTTCTTGCATTGACTTAAGTCTCCTTTCTTTGGTAGTTTGAATAGGTATCCTTTCTTCCAATCCTCGGGTACTTTGCCTTCTTTCCACACCTTCTCCAGTAGTGGCGTCATCAGGTCTGCTGTTGTCTCTGGGTCGACTTTCAATGCTTCTGCTGGGATTCCATCTGGTCCTGCTGCTTTCCCAGCTTTCAGCATCTTGATTGCCTTCAGGACTTCTGATTTCGTCGGGGGGTTGATGTTCACTGGTAATTCTGCTTCCGTTGTTGGTATTGTTGGGCGCGTTGTAGGTGGCGGTGGGTTTAGTAGTCTTTTGAAGTGTTCAGCCCAGTGTTTCCTTTGCTCCACTTCTTTGGTGATTGACTTTCCATTTTCATCCTTCACTGGCTTAATTTGTGACGAATTTTTGCCTGAAAGGTACCTAGTTGTTTGGTGAAGTGTTGCGAGGTCTCCTTTGTCTGCAGCTTGTTCTGCTTCATTGGCCATGGCTTCATAATACTTTCTTTTGTCTTCTCTGGCACTCTTCTTTACTCCTTTGTTCAGTGTATTGTAGCTTACATTCAACTCCTGTTTCTGTTGCTCGTCGGTGCACTGCAGAATTTTTTGTTTCACCATCCTTCTCTCCTCTATTAGCCTCCAAGTGTCCGTCGTGAGCCATTGTTTGTCCTGTCTCTTCTTTCTGCCCAGAACTTCCATGCAGGTTTCGCTCCATACTGTTTTCAGGTTGTTCCAGTGTTTTTCGACGCTGACCTCTTCACCAGTGTTGATTTGTGTCTCGGCTTTGTCCTTTATACTTGCAGTAAAGATATCTTTTGTATCCTGGTCCTTTAGTTTTTGAGTGTTGAACTTGGCTTGTGGTCTATCTGCAGCTCCTGTTTCTCTGAAAGCCTTTAATTTGAGTTGGATTGTTCCTTGTACGAGGTAGTGGTCTGAGCCAACGTCTGCTCCTCTTCTTGCTTTTGTGTCCAGTAGGCTGCGCCGCCACTTCCTCGAGATTGTGATGAAGTCAATTTGGTTTTTGGTTCGCCCATCTGGTGACACCCATGTAGCCTTGTGAATATCCTTGTGTTTGTATACGCTGCCACCAATCACTAGTTCATTGAAGGCGCAGAAGTCGGCGAAGAGTTCTCCATTTTCATTCATCTCTCCCAGAGCTTCTTTACCCATGATGAGTTCCCTTCCTGTGTTGTCTGGTCCCAGTTTGGCGTTCATGTCTCCCATTAGTATTTTGATGTCACCGGCTGGAGTATTGTCTATTGCTGCCTGCAGTTGTCTGTAGAATTCTTCTTTCTTTTCGAGGTCTGCGTTGTTGGTCGGTGCATAGCATTGTATAATTGACACTTTCCTTCCTTTGGAGTTGAATCTGGCGGTTATTATCCTGGGTGAGATCGCCTCCCATTGTATCAGAGCCTTGGTTGCCGTTGGTGACATCATTATAGCCACGCCCTCGGTGTGTGTGTGGTTGTCTTCTGGGTGACCGGAGTAAATCACTGACTCACCTGTATATATATATACATATGTATTATTACTGTATGCATATACTGATCGATTGATTTTTGTTTAAAAACGAACTCTCTGTGCAAGTATTTTAAAATTGTTTTTGTAGATATATTTAATAATGACTTTGGCCTGTAAACAGCTGAAGAGAAGGCAACGAAATCACCAACAATGATGGTACCACTTTATTCTGCACAAACCGTTGCTGTTCTTGCTTTGTTCAAATGCATTAAGGGGAATATATATATATATGAAGCCGTGTCTTTTTTGGTCTTACGCGACTATTGACCTTATTCTGTAAAAAACTAGATCACCGGCTGCTAGAAGTTCAAAGTTCAACACTTGAAGACCTATGTTCGTTTGTTTGTTTTTGTTTCGTTTTCATTTGAAGCGCCAAATTGGAAGGAAATCAAATCAAAGAATACAAAAACGTGTTAATCTGTCTTAGAAATTAGGCATAATAATTGCGCAACACAGTATGATTTTGAGCAAAAACAAGTGAGCAAAATACTCACAGTCACACTACACACACACAAGTAGTATATGTTTCTTATTTATTGAAACAGAATATGGATGAATAGGCAAGCATAACTTGCACACACATACACACAGGAAATCTCGTCAAATTAGGATGAAATCCACACACGAAGCTTTCCTTCGTGGGAATACATTTATGTTTACATATATTATATATAGATCCATATATGCGTGTATACTTGTAAATATCAATGCTTCAATTTGAATAATATAACTGGTGTAATGAATAAACCAATTGATACAGCCAGTGAGACAAAATTAGCCACTGTACCACTTGCATGCAAAAGTAAATGTTGTAACAGGCTGAATAGACCAGCCACTGTACTAGATATACCATTCAGTGTACCAAAATAACGTATAGGGAAACATGTCAGCAGATAGCTAACAAATGAACTGAACAGCAAAGATCTAAGTATCACTAAACACAGAAATGCCACATAAATGGCATTCTTGTCACGTATAAACATCATGATACTTAAGAGAAGTGAAAATACAGCTGTCAATGTTAAAGCTGGAATTAAACCAGATATATACGTGTAATAGATTTTCTGATTTGTTAAACTTTTACGATCTCTAATCAGCATATTAGTCACTTCATCACGTGATAAGCGTAGAAATACGTCGATAATGAGACCAGAGAGTGGAGCAGCAAAAAATCCACACATTGAAAATGCCGAGGACACTTCTAATAGATGGCTGATGAGTGTTTCATCTCCAGGGAAGAGATAGGTTAGTTGTTTATGCAGCTGGCTTAAAAATACACAGAAACGAAATAATCCCAGGATAAACCAAAAATTGATTAATATGTAAGAGGCTGATGAGGCAGTTTTTTTCAATGTTGAAAATTCTTCATCAAAAACATGCGACATTTCTGCATAGATATCGATTGTTGACGATTCTTCTAAACAGGATTCCTAGATTAATTATTTGGGGTGGCAGCGGCGGCAGGGGATGAGGAACACAGAGGCATCCGGGGGAGGGAGATAAAAAAGAAAACATTTGACAGCTTATTTACGATTTTATATTATAAATATTACAGGATAATAAGTAATAAAAATGCATGAAACAAGATATACAACTGACTGCTAGCCATTAAACCAGATCGAAGCGGTCTATACACACTGGGTGGGTGTTTCTCTCGTTTAATGGACAAATTCGCCAACAGAGTTTACTCTGTATGACTCACATCGAGGAATCGAATCATTTCAAACCGCCCTCAGCGTTTCAATCACTTGGTTCTGACTAGTTAGTGGCATAGAAATACACTTCTTAGTCAATCAGTTATCAGAATAAAGTGGTACCATCCTTTGTTTATTTCGTTGCCTTCTCATCAGCTGCTTACAGGGCAAAGACATTATTAAATATATCTACAAAAACAATTTTAACATACTTGCACAGAGTTCATTTTAAACAAAAATCAATCGATCAATATATGCATACACTAATAATATATATATATGCAATATTGAACACTATTCCGAACAATAATAATCATGCACAATGGAAACTTTCAACATCTCGAATTCGGATGAAAAATATCCAGTTACCAGACAGGGCAAAGAAAGACTGATAACCACTTCTTTCTGGACGCACAAATCAGGTTTCAGTTGCTTGATGGAAATGGCTTCAGAAAACTTGAGGAGAATTGAGCTCTTTTGCCAATGGATAATTTTGAACGAATTTGCGACGTCCACCTCATGACCCGTGTCGAGGAGATGCTTGACGATGGCACTGTTTAAAGCATTCGTTCTCTTTAGACATTGTCTTTTTGGTACATGTTCAGAAAATCGGAGGTATGCCCTCCTTCTTTCTGTTCTCCCAATGTAAATGCTCTTACAGATACATGTAAATTTGTATACAAACTGTTGGAGTTAACCTGAGAAGGATATCTGTCGACTTTTGATTGCGCCAAAGAGCAAGTTGTTCGATAGACGGGAACGAGCTTAGCTGAAGGATAAGTTCTGACTAGTGAGGTACTCAGTCTTCTGTTGACAATTGCTGTAATATTTTCACCTTTAAAATCAAGTTGAATGTAGATGGGCTTTTCCTCCACTGTGATTTGTTTTACATTTGAGACTTCAAATCTTCCATACTTGTTAATGAACCTTTGAGGGAACGTACCCATTGCTCTTCAGTGTCTTTTCAAGAAAATCAAATTCTTCCTCTAATTTCTCTATAGAGCGTATTCTCCTGACTCTTTAGTTCAGAGTCTTGACTAGACCACGTTTAACGCTATTTGGACAAAAGCTATTAAATTGTAGGAATTGTCTTTTCCATGTAGACTTTCGATAAAGTGACTTTTGAAAACTACCGTCTTCTAGGCGTTCCATGGCGATGTCGAGGAAGTGAAACTTTCCGTACCATTTTATTCTGCTAAAACTGTAGTTGTTGCTTTGTTCAAATTCAATAAGGGGAATAAATTTATGAAATCAGTTATCAAGCAGATAAATGATATTAGTTTCTAAAGGTGAAATTTCACGGCCTCGAACTGTGAAAACTGAGAACGCAATAATAGCGACAATAATAATAATAATTAAATTAGGAAAAAAAATAAAACAAATTTTATTCTTTAAAGTTCTAGATATCAATTCATTTGTCCTTCAGATTTTGATTTATTCCACAGCAGTTCAACTGTAGCTTGCGCCGCTTATCTTTGGTTGTAGATTATCTATCGTCTCAGTTTCTTGTATATTTGTGAGTGAATACTTTCAGGTACTAGGGAATACTGGATAGCTGTTCCATCAGAGTTTTGGAACTTCTCAGTATCCCAGTGACTTACTATAAGGATGAAGTTGTCCCGGTGTTCTAGTGAGAAGGCGTGACCAGTAGAGTTCACCAAACCACAAGTGTGTCTGTCTGTCTATCTGTTTTCAGCATAGGACTTTGCACCGATGTGCAACAGTTCTAGTCGCCACACTTCACTCAGCACACAAAGGAAGAGAAGAAATGCAAAACAGAGACAGTAGACAGGAATATGAAACAAAAGCGATAGTAATAATGAAGAACGATATAGTTTCATTAGATATTATAAATCACAAGGAGTGGATGCATCCAACAGCGCCAGTCACTGAGAACGATTTTGAGCCATATCACCGACGTCTCCATCCGCCATTGGTCTGTACAGTCTCAAGGACCCCAACCAGTCAGGTAGTCTACACCTGCTTACGTGACTGTCTGGCTTGAACTAACTGTTGTGGATTTGATTGACTGATGAAGCCATGTTTTGGTTTGACCACAACTGGCTAACTCTTTTTCAACCTGACTCTATGTCAGCTAACATTGTCCATCAGTCGAGGAAGGCGATGGCTAGGAATGCATGCGTAACATATGCCGATGCAACTTCACAGCCTCGTCTATTGATTTCCCTTCCCTACCTAGCACTCGATGCCTAACCTCAGTGTGTAGAAACACTCACTGACGATACTGTTTCGTGGAAGATACATATATATATATATATATATCACAAAATGTCAGCAATTTTAATTTATGGAGTGCTAACTGGATTCCGTTCCAGTGTCTAAATGGTTAACAAGCTTGCCTAACAAGCTGAAGTTTCTGGATTCGATTCTTAGTTGTTGTTTCGTGGTTGTGTTTTCTGATCAAGAATCGCAAACATGAACAAATCAGTTGTCTTGCACTCCTCCACTTTGTATACTACTCTAAATGAAGTCAGTTCGTATTCTATCTTGAAATCAATCGAATCTCTCAGAAACCAACACTTGAATATCATGAATTCTCTTACATATGAATAACTTCAAATGCTGTAGGTATGGTTAGAACAAATTTAGTCTTTTCAGACAACTCTTACGATGTCGTACCACCTTGTGTATACAGTACACTCGCATATATTCTGTAAACTATTTAACTGAATTTTAGATTTTACCATCGATTGACTGGACCGAAGTGATTGGTCTCAGGTCAACATGTCGGCTTCTTGTGCAGATGCTTCGACGATGTCTGGGCATGTAATAAGAATTTAATTGGTGGATGGCACACCCAGATGACGAGTCCCAAATAGGACGAAACGCGCATCCTAGATTCCACTGCTAGTCACCATCCACCAATTATATTCTGTAAACTGTTGAAATTATTACGTGGGAAACAATCAAACGTGTACAATACATAGAATCAATCTATCTGGCCAGCGGAGCATTAGCAGTAAACAAGAGTAAGTTTCAAATCGCTTCCTATCATTCTTGAGCACATACCGTTATATAATTCAATTGATTTTCCTACCTTCATATACCCACCTACCTATTAATTGCATGTGCATCGGCAGCACAGTGGTAGAATGCCCACCAACCACGCCTCATATAGTTCTGGGTTCGATCCCCAACCGACACACTCCCAAACCTCACCAAGCCAGTAATTAGACTGGTAAAGAGGGAAGGTTGGGAGACATGAGGCTAGAAACCCCATCCCGTAAAAGTAATAAACATCACAGCTGCTACCGAAACTTCAGACCTTTAGCTTGAAGCCACCCAATGTTCCACTAGGAACGTAAAGGAATCAAGATTTTTAAAAATAAATATTAATTGCATATGTTGAAGTTGTTTCAGATTTTTATAATTATGAGAAAAATTTTAAAAGATAATTGAAGGGAAGAAAAAACAGTTCTTTCCAACGATGTCATCAACTAGGCGGTAAATTTGTGTATCTACAGTCGATGAGTGAGAAAGTTTTAAGACTAGTTCCGATTGAAGGTCAAAGTATGATGAACAACAAGACTACAATCGATATAAGAATAGAACTTGGTACAGTAGAATTCCATTATGGGTAAAATTTATTTTCATAAAGTCTCACAGTGGTGTTATACAGTAATATTTACCGATGATGACGACATTTCGAGCACAATTTATCATTGCTACTCATAATCATTTCAAGCTACTCACACAACTTTCTAACTTTGTTTGTATAATTCCATTATTTTTCATCTCTTGACTTGATTGGTAGTAGTATTTTCCATTATTCCGGTATGAGTGATAAGTCATTCCTATTGCACGTGTTGGGTGTAGATTCGATGAACCAGGCAGGATTCAGTAATCAATCTCTCTCTCCACCTACCTACATCACTTTTTAGAACTTTAACTCTCTTATCCCATTGTGTGGTTGTTTGTTAATGGATGCAGTGCAACTGCTGAGCTTCTTTCAAAATTACTTATCCCCGTTGGATCAATCATTCTTACCTTAGCTAAATTCTGACAATCTGACTACTCCTGATCTACTAGTCTGACCTATGTACTTCACTCAGCTCAAACTCATTGAAAGGTATTTTGTGAATGATATTACTTTGTCTAATTGGGTCAGTCGACAGGGTCCTCTAACCTACAGAGCTTGTCCTATCTGAGTGAGTTTGTAGGTTTGTATGCCACCACCCTAATCCCTGCTTTATTGACAAGCCTACGAATGGAAGGTCTCAGATGTTTCTTCCGTCCTTGTATGGTAAAACTACTGTAGATGCCTTATATTCTTTCTTATTTATGTTATAATTATTAGTTTCACCATTATCTTCATTTTGCCTTTGACCTTTTCTGATCTTCCTAGTGAATTTTATTGGATAATTATTTAACACCAACCAGCTATTCTCCTATCTGTTTCATTTCATCATTTAGGTCTTTTCTTGTACTACTTAGTTCTGCTTCTCAGTTTGTTAAACATTTAACTAAGCAAAATAGAAATAATGGGGAAGCTAATAATGAAAACATAAATAAGAGAGAATAAGAAACGTGATCGGATGATCACTAATGTCTGTTTACGATGGAAATGATTAGAAAAAACCGATGGATGTTTTTCTTATGAATGTATAACGTCGGCTTGAAATTTTCAATCAACAGTACTCCACCTTTGCTTAAATTGCTTGATCTCACTTGCTTTGAATAGTTTCATTGAATCTTGTAAAGAATTTTGAAGGACT